AAATTAATCTTACGTCAAAAGAAAAAACAAGATTAATTTGCTTCCCCCATTGGCTAATTATTTTGCTTGTTTTAAGGAAAAACACTTAATATTGGCATATTATTTCTCGAAACAAGATAATATGTTTTGCTTGTTTAGAAAGTGCTTCCTGATTTAAGAAATTTTAGATATTTAGACTAGAAACAAGAAAAAAAATCTAAGCGAGAAAAGCATTTTTTGCAGTGTAATGCTGTGCACTGTCTTTCCACCACTTGAGAGGACAAGCCATGAGTGAGATAGAGGTCTCTTTGCGGTACAAGTCAATGTCTGCATCAATCTAACAAGTGTGTTCTGCAGTCCCCATGACTGTTATTAGTCGTAATCCTCGACTTATATTTTTCTTATATTTTTTTCTCCTTTTTCGTATCTTTTTAGAAAGAAACCGAAATGCTTCCACACATCCGATTTAAAACCCGCTTTAGGTTCGATCATTTCCAGCTCTTTTTCTTCCCCGCTACTAGCAGCACACTCCATTTCCGCATTACTGGATCTGTAGTGACAACAGACCGCAAAGGATGATGGCCACGCCTGGGCTGATGGGAATTGTAGTTCCTGCTACCTCCCGTTCGCTTCATTCGCCTGAGCAAACTTTTCTCAGATATATAGTTTTATTGAGTCATGCGACTACGGTAATATTGAAAAAAATTACTATTGTAGTATGACGGTATTTACAATATTGTTACATCCCTACAAATAATGGTTTATAACTCTCTGAAAATGACCCTTTTAGGCTTTGATCCTAGTTGTAGCTTTAAATTCAAATGAGATTGTGCTCTTTTTCAGAGTGGAGGTACAGGTGCCTGTGTGTCAGCATAATGGCAGATTCAAAACATGACTAACGTTCTATGCTAATGAGGGTGAGATGGTCGCTAGTGGGCGGGGCTTTCCCTCTCAGAATGTCAATCAAAGGGTTTCTGCGGTTTTTATGGAGTCCGATTATATAAAACTAAATCAATACATTTTAATCATCAATGTGCGTTCACATCAGATGCGGATGAAGCATCAGTGATTTATGTGTTAAATCAATGCAAAAATGCAAATAGACATATGTTTGCACATGTTTAAAATCCTCCAGATTATCGGCAGGGTTAATGGAAAGAGGGTGGCTCAAGTCTACCTCAGAATTCTTTCAGAAAATGCATCCGTACAGGTAAATTGGGTAGGCTGAATTGTCCGTAGTGTATGAGTGTGTGTGTGGATGTTTCCCAGAGATGGGTTGCAGCTGTAAAAACTTGCTGGATAAGTTGTCGGTTCATTCCGCTGTGGCGACCCCGGATTAATAAAGGGACCAAGCCGACAAGAAAATGAATGAATGAATGGTCTAATTAGGCCAGTAGGAAAAATACTAGCGTTGAACCCTGCAAACAACAGAGGATTTTTAAGATCAACAACAAACACACAAAGACAGCAACAGCACCTAGTAAAGCACTTTTATTTATAAGCTCGGTTGCATTAGAGCCAAACTGCAAAAAAAAAAAAAAAAGTACATTTTACTCAGAAAACAATATCGTACCCACCCACTTCATGACAATAAACTCAGCATGCCTCAACAAAACACAGTATATACTTCAAAAAACTATCAAAAGATGCTGATATGCCTTTCAGAAACGATAGAGAAGACGAAAACGTCACGAAGCAACTCTCCTTCAGTAGCCGTTTACAATGAGCCACGATTACTAGCGGACATAGAAAAGGTTTTCCATGCAGTTTATTTCTTTCGTTTCTAAATGAGCGCTAACTAATGAAAGGAAAAGAAGCTTTGGTTCTAATATGAAAGATCTTCGTCAGTAATACCACACAAGTAACCTAGAAACGTTGCGAAATAACCAGAATTAAGCACTCCTTGTGTACTGTGTTTATGGTAATATTTCACACAAGCCACCCTGATGATTAGCAGTTTTTTTTACAGCCATGGCCAAAATGTTTGTGTACACCTTGTTTCGATTAAAACGAATCAAAGAACAAAACAAAGAAATCGTGCATACAGTCGTCACATCAACATTCGTGTTTTACAAAATAAGTACTAGGAATCAAGAAGCGATATTTGACAAGTCTAATCAGCTCATACAGTATTACTAATGCAAATCTAACTGGTTAAAGTCGATCTGAACATACATTAATTTAAAGATGCGAACAAAAGTTAATATGCCTACCTACGCTTTTAAATAAGACAAAGAGGCTGAGTTGAATAGCAGTTAACGGATTATTCACCAGCCTCGAATCTGCAATACAATATCAACAAATTACAATAATAAGCTCTAAAAAAAAATGTTGGGTCGTGTTTACCCCGCACTGGGTTAAATATGGACCAACCCAACAGTTGGGTTACATAATGTAAATTTAAGAAGTTTACTCAACATTGGGTAAACACAACCCAGCATATTTTAGAGTGCATCCCTTTGTAGAATGTAAAATGTCCACCTCTTTTTTTTTTTTTTTTTGTATCATTTTAATAATTTCAGTGCTTTTCTTAAAGGAACAATCCACTTTTGGGGGGAGAAATCAGCTCATTTTATAACTCCTAGAGTTGAACAGATGAGTTTTACCATTTTTTAATCCATTCAGCCCATCTCCGGGTCTCGCTGGAACACTTTTAGCTTAGCTTAGCATAGATCATTGAATCTGATTAGACCGTTAGCATCTCGTAAAAAAATTCTAATTTGTTTACAAAGTTGAACAGACGAGTTTTACCATATTTAAATTCATTCAGCTGATCTCCTGGTCTGGTTGGAGCACTTTTAGCTTAGCTTAGCATAGATCATTGAATCTGATTAGACGGTTTACATCTCATCAAAAACTGATGCTAATGGTCTAATACAATTCAAGGATTTAAGCCAAACTAAGCAAAAAGTGCTGTCAAATCTGGAGTTGACCCGAACGGTTTCAAAAATGGTTAAACTCACATGTTTATCTCGATAAACACATTGAGAATTTTTAATGAGATGCTAACGGTCTAATCCAATTCAATGATTTATGCTAAGCTAAAAGTGCTCCTTTCAAACCCAGAAATCTCCTGAATTAATAAAAAAATGGTAAAAGTCATCTGTTTCACTCTATAAACACATTGGTATTTTTAATGAGATGCTAACGGACTAATACAATTCAACGATTTATGCTAAACTAAGCTAAAAATGCTCCTGTCAAACCCAGAGATCTCCTGAATAAATAAAAAATGGTAAAACTCATCTGTTTCACTCTATAAACACATTGGTATTCTTTAAATGAGATGCTAATGGTCTAATTCGATTCAATGATTTATGCTAAGCTAAGCTAAAAGTGCTCATTCCACATCAGAGATTGCCACAATGGATAAAAAAAATGGTGAAACTCATCTGTTTAACTCTGCAATCACGTTGATAATTTTTTACGAGATGCTAATGGTCTAATCTGATTCAATGATTTATGCTAAGCTAAGCTAAAAGTGCTCTTTCCACATCAAATTGTGCCTCAGCGAATTAAAAAATGGTTAAACTCCTCTGTTTAACTCTGCAATCACATTGATAATTTTTTACGAGATGCTAATGGTCTAATCCGATTCAATGATTTATGCTAAGCTAAGCTAAAAGTGCTCATTCCACATCAGAGATTGCCACAATGGATTAAAAAAATGGTGAAACTCGTATGTTTAACTCTGCAATCACGTTGATACTTTTTTACGAGATGCTAATGGTCTAATCCGATTCAATGATTTATGCTAAGCTAAGCTAAAAGTGCTCTTTCCACATCAAATTGTGCCTCAATGAATTAAAAAAATGGTGAAACTCATCTGTCTAACTCTGCAATCACGTTGATATTTTTTTACGAGATGCTAATGGTCCTATCTGATTCAATGCTTTATGCTAAGCTAAGCTAATGGTGCTCTTTCCACATCAGATTGCCTCAATGGATTCAAAAAATGGTGAACTCATCCGTTTAACTATGCAATCATGTTGACATTTTTTACGAGATGCTAATGGTCTAATCCAGTTCAATAGTTTATGCTAAGCTAAGCTAAAAGTGCTCTTTCCACATCAGAGATTGCCTAAATGGATTAAAAAAATAGTGAAACTCATCTGTCTAACTCTGTAATCACGTTGATAATTTTTTACGAGATGCTAATGGTCTAATCCGATTCAATGATTTATGCTATGCTAAGCTAATAAAAACCTGGAGATCTGTTTAACTCTAAAATGAGTCTGTTTCCAGAAAATGGAGTGTTCCTTTAATAAATCTGAATTTGTGAGTAGTTAGCGCCTTCTGTTGACTGTCACAGTAAAACAAATGGCGCATCAGTAGATTTAACACGTCCCCAACTGTTAACAACACTGATTATTGAAAGCTCTCTCTCTCTCTCTCTCTTCTGCTGAATTTGAATAGAAGTATAGCCCAGACATCCAATCAACCATTTAAGAGCTTTTACTACTTCCTTTTGTAACAGAAAGAAAACGAAATGAAAAGTAAAACATCCCTGAATCCTAAAAGGAAGAACAAATATGCCAACTCTACTGGAAGAACTTTGTCAAAGTGCTCTGAGCACATCGCACACCACACCAGATTTGGAGCAAAGGTCTGACATGCATTTAATGTAGCCCAACAAACCATTGCAGCTCTTGATAATGCAAAGGTCAGCAGCGTCTTTAACTTTAAGTCCTTTGAGTGGGTTGCTCAGCCCCCCCCCCCTTGATCCACCGGTTTTTGCAGTGCGGATCTTATATTAGGTTTTGTGTGTGTTTTTTTGCCATCGATGCAGCTTTGATTTTAAGGGCTAAATTCTGAAAAGTCGCTTGTGCTTTCAACTGATTGTCTGAAAACCGGGCAGTGAAGGATTCGCTGTGTATCTCTTCAATCACATTCACGTATAAAAGGTATCACAATATCCTCACCTAGCAGTTTATCAATAATCGTAGAGTTCAAAAAAGTATTGATGTTATTTCAAGCGTATAAACGGAGATCCGTTTTAATCCGGATTCTACATTCAAGGATTTTTTTTTTTCACAGACATAAAAGAGAGATTGAAAACTCTGTTTACTGCATCTATCAAGATACCCGTGTCGATTTTATAAACCACAGGATCATTTTTATTGTGTTTTATTAATTTTTTTGGAATGTAATAGTCGCTCCATGCTCCGAATTTTATTAAAATATCTAAGCTAGTTGCAAATGTAGCACTTATGGTCATGATTTGTAAACACCCGAAATGCTAAATGCTAAAAAAGAAAACAAAACTACACAGCAGGGTTGCAACAGCAAAGTGGCTTCATCGTAGTTTATCCATAACAGAAAGGTTCCGAGTAAATGCTAATGTAAATGTGATGACGCTGTAAAGCAGAGGGCCAATGGAGTTCAAGGAAACGATGAGAAGCTGGGAGCTTCTGCATCCTCAAACGACTGATCCTGCGACTGTTTTCAACTAGGAGAGAAAGAAGAGATTAAGGTCAGTGCGCATGTTTTAATGCAGCCACAATTTTGTCTACAAAAATTATATTCTCATGTGTGTGTGTGTTTTTTTTTTTTTTCATTTTAGGGAGTTTCAAGCACAGAGAAAATCTGGCATCCTCAAAGCCCAACACTGCGTAAGATTTTCCTTTGTATTGGTATAAGAGTAATATTGAGTATAGAGTTAAGCAAGGCTGTAGGTTCGCTCTTGACATTGGTGGGGACGTACATCCCTAGAGATGCACAGAAGTGCTAATGTTAAAAACATGACTCGATTCTGGCTAAAATGTGAATCACGATTTGTTTTGGCTTAAAATCAAGATCAGGATGAGAGTAAATAATATTTGAGCGGCTGAAGAATATGTAGTCAGATATGATGTCCACAGCCATATCACCCTGCAGCCCAACACCGGTTACTCACTGAAGCTAAGCAGGGCTGAGCCCGGTCAGTACCTGGGTGGGAGACCACATGGGAAGACTAGGTTGCTGTTGGAAGTGGTGTTAGTGAGGCCAGCAGGGGGCGCTCAACCTGTGGTCTGCGTGAGTCCTAATGCCCCAGTATAGTGAAGCAGACACTACACTGTCAGTGGGCGCCGTCTTTCGGATGAGACGTTAAACCGAGGTCCTGACTCTCTGGGGTCATTAAAAATCCCATGGCACTTCTCGTAATAAGCAGGGGTGTAACCCCGGTGTCCTGGCCAAAGTCCCTCAATCGGCCCTTACTATCATGGCCTCCCAATCATCCCCCTCCACCGAACTGGCTGTATCACTGTCTCTCCACTCCCCCAATAGCTGGTGTGTGGTGAGCGCACTGGCGCCGTTATCCTATGGCTGCCGTCGCATCATCCAAGTGGATGCTGCACACTGGTGGTGGTGTGGAGAGACCCCCCTCATGATTGTGAAGCGCTTTAGGTGTATGGACATGCACACAAAAAAATGCGCTATATAAATACTAGGGATGTAACGGTATCAGAATTTCACGGTACCTCGGTATGAATGGCACGGTACGGTATTTATTGAATAATTTACAGGAAAAACGAAACTAATGAAAAGACTCGAAAAAAGTGGCAAAAGTGTTTATTTACCTTATTGAACATATCAATGACATACAAATTAGTCATCTATCTGTAAGTTTCGATACAGGAACTTACATTTTTCAATTTTAATAACCAAAAACTATTAAACCATATAAAAAAAATAAAGTTTTAATTCAGTATTGTTGAAAACTCATCTCATTCAACATTTAATCACTCACTCACTCAGATAGAGATGGGCTTTTTAAGGAAAATTATCATATAAGTATAATCTGGTGAAAGCTGGGATCTCTGGGCATGTCCCCTGCAACAGAAAAAACCCCTCTCATTTGGGACTGAGGTTTCTGGGACAGAGAGATATGACTTGGCCCAGGTTGACAGCAGTGGGTAACGCTGTGCATTGTCTTTCCACTACTTGAGAGGACAAGCCATGAGTGAGATAGAGGTCTCTTTGCGGTACAAGTTAATGTCTGCATCAATCTAACAAGTGTGCTGTGTTCTGCAGTCCCCATGACTGTTATAAGTCGTATTCAGGGCCGGAGCAAGCTGAACTGCCGCTCTAGGCAGAGGACGATCACGCCGCCCTCAACCCCAATGTGAAAACGAAAGTGACCAGTTATGAAAATGAAGTGAGGTGTCGCGGACCTCTATTCTGCCGCCCTATGCGCGGATATAACTGAGGACACGCGGGTGCTGATGGAGGTGTCGCTGACGCCGCCCTCTCTATTCTTGCGTCTATGCGCGAATATATCTGAGGACGTGGGTGGTGAGGGAGGTGTCGCGGACATAACGGAGGACGTGGGTGGTGAGGGAGGTGTCGCGGACATAACGGAGGACGTGGGTGGTGAGGGAGGTGTCGCGGACATAACGGAGGACGTTGGTGGTGAGGGCGGTGTTGCGGACAAAACGGAGGACGTGGGTGGTGTCGCGGATGCCGCCCTCTCTATACTGCCACCCAAGGCGGCCGCCTAGGTCGCCTCTATGGACGCGCCGGCCCTGGTCGTATTCCCCGACTTATATTTCACCACAGTCTGGCAGTGCCTGCAGACACATTTCCGCATTACTGGATCTGTAGTGACAACAGACCGCAATGGATGATGGCCACGCCTGGGCTGATGGGAATTGTAGTTCCCGCTACCTCCCGTTCGGTTCATTCACCTGAGCAAACTTTTCTCAGAAATACAGTTTTATTGAGTCATGCGCCTACGGTAATATTGAAAACAATTACTATTGCGGTATGACGGTATTTACAATATTGTTACATCCCTAATAAATACAGATTACATCACATGACATTTACATTACATGATGTGCTGTCATCATGGCAAAGATAAAATAAATCAGTTACTAGAAATAAGTTATCAAAACTATGCTTAGAAATGTGTTGAAAAAATCTGTTATGAAGAAATTGGGGAAATCTTTTTTTAGCATGGCTAATAATTCTGAATATATATATATTATACTATATAATTCTGACTATAATATTTTCAGTTTTCTCACCTGACTCTTATTTAGCGATGGCAGCTGGAGAGCCCGAGCGGTGGAAATGGACTATCTGCCACTTGCCGTCTTTACGATGCCAGATTCGTGTTTCTTCGGACTGGGCAGTGCAGGGCATCCCGTTATTGTCTAGGTACTGTGTGATGCGAATGTAGGCGATGCAGGCGGCCTCCTCGCCGATCAGATGGATGTGAGGGTTGAGGATGGTAGTGTGAACCGGCTTGCTGTTCTTTGACCACACTGTTATAGAGAAAAAGAAGAAAACAAAGAGAGCCTTTTCATATTTCAGGCTTTCTCAGAAGAGGAGGTCATCATAGTGGGTAAACTCAGAGTGCAGTGAATGCGGGAGCACGACAAATCATTGTTTTGACAATCCTATTTGCTGAAATAACTCCACAATGGTGATATGAAGACTTTCAGAAAAAGGAAAACAATAGCGTTAGACTGATAATGACAGGTAGAAAAGAGAATAATGTCAGATTTACTGTCCTGGCCCCATAGACGCTCACTGCAAAAAAATGCTTTTCTTGCTTAGATTTTTTTGTCTTGTTTGTAGTCTAAATATCTAAAATTTCTTATATCAAGAAGCATTTTCTAGACCAGGGGTTCCCAAACTTTTCAGGCCGCGACCCCCAAAATGACAATGCCAGTGACTCGCGACCCCCAATATCCTCTGAGGTTGTTATAAATACAGAAACCTTGCATGCAATGGCGCACACACACCAATGGACCCAAGTCCATTCAGTCTTCTTTTAATTTTTTTAATGTATGAGAGCTGTAAATGGGCCACAAAGTTTAACCGGGTGTTATGAAATCTGCTGCATCTGATGCTATTGCTGTGTCTTTAATACAATGTAATTACCGCAGGGGTTGCAATCCAATAGAAGTAGTAACTATAAGCTACTACAGTAACTATATACGGCATAAACGACTTTTTTTTCTTCTCTTCAGTAGGTTATGGATAAAATATGGTAATTCTTATGGTTTAATAAAAATAAATAGATTTTTGGAAACCACCAGGCGACCCCCCCCCTTCATTGTCCCGCGACCCCTCGGGGGGTCCCGACCCCCACTTTGAGAACCATTGTTCTAGACAAGCAGAACTTA